CATCTCTCTCAGATAATTGGATATGTGATAACCCTTATATTCTAAGGGTTGGAATGGGAACAACAGTGGCAAAACAGATGGGAATTTTCAGTGAAACTAGACTAATTTAGTATCTGTAAAAGCAACATTGACAGTTATGGTGTATAACAGATAGACTATGAGACTGAATAATGTATGAGGCTGTGCTTTTGACAATGACTGTATCTAGAACTCTGTGACATTTGTGTAGGAAAGGTAATTACTGTACACTCCAACTAAGGTTTGACACATTTTTTGATTTCAGTAAAAATGATTTTTAACCTCATGTCTATCCTGAGTTTTGATGCAGTCTAATCAATATGAATCTCTACAGAACGTCAGTTTGTAATTTTGACAGAAAGGACAAAAAACGTCTGAAATTAACAGAAAAATAAACCAGTAAGGGTTGAGAAAAGGTTTGTTTTGAAGTTTGTCAGTAAACACGTTCTGATGTGTGTGTAGATGCACGTCTGTGTTGTGGAGTTATACTCACAATGACCTCCACTGTAACAGAGACACTGCTGTTGAGAGCTGGAGTCCCTCCATCTTTGACCAATACAGTCAAGTAGATCATTCCTCTGGGAACCTGCTCATAATCCAGAGGTCTGTTCACTGAGATCACTGGCAGAACGTGGAAGAAAGATGAACAAAAAATTGGTAATGAACAGTTTCTGTCACTTTTCAGAAAATGTGTGGTTTGTGTCAAACAGTTAGTAACATCCAAATAAATAAAACATCCCTTTTCTACAGGTTTTTAACACTAAGTGCTGTTGCTTAACTGAAATTTGCCAATTGGAAAAAATAGGGCTCTTTCACTTCAATAGACTGAGTTTTCTTACCTGTTCTAGATGTGGCTGACCACAGCTAAGATTCTGTATGTACTGTACTGTACAGTACTGTATTATATTTATACGTTATATTGACAACTAAATGTCACAATCAAACTTTATACAGTGCTTTCAAAATGACTGAGTTAGACACTCACTATAACCAATGTTAAAGAAGCCATTTTAAATGCAGTACATGTGTAATAATATTTTGAGCAACTAAAACATTTGTTTGGATAAATGTATTTAAAAAATTGCCGTGCACATGGTACAATGTCTGCAATAATATAGCATTTGTCCCAAAAATATATATATATCAATATATGATAATATATAATGTGCAAATGAACAGCAAAAGCTTTGTCCTATTTATTATGTGTTTACCTGCATAGCCCTCCACCATCATGAGATTGAAGTAATCCTGGAATACTGAGGCTGAAGTGATGGTGTAGGTCAGGAGGTTGTTGGGAGGAGAATCCTCATCTGTAGCCTACAGGCAGACAAGCAGGAGTGAGAGAGTGTTAGGGAGCGCCATTCACATCTGCCACAGAGATGAGTTATACATTTGGAAAGACAAGAGAGGCAACAGATAGAGTAAAGAAAACAATGCAGTGCAGAGAGCCCAGTATTTATATTGGTTATCAATTAAGCAGGTGTCAATACTTAAGAAGCACCAATTGATCCAAGACACGTCCAGATCACACAGTTCTTCTCTGAGGTGATCCATTAACAACAGCCACAACCTCATTTCACATTGTCAACAACTGTAAAATAAACCAGTCAACCTGGCCTCACTAAAATGAACAAAGGATGAACTGGTTGTTGACACTAACCTGTACACATGAACCTTTGCCAAAACGTTGAGAAAGCAAATACTTTCTTCCTCAAATTGTCTTATATGATATTAAAATATCAACAGAGTGAAACATTAGACTGTCTTTTATAGTTGAGATGGTTGGGGGTAAAATCAAACTGGAGCAGTGAAAAGCCTCTCAGAAATAGGACTGTAGTAAGAATCACCAACTTCCAGGTATTTATGGAAAATTAAAGACAAATAAAAGTAGAAAATGTTCCTTTCGCTCTCTCTGCTCTGCCTGTGCATAGCAGCAGTGTGTGTGTGTGTGTGTGTGTGTGTGTGTGTGTTTCCAGGCCATTTGCTGACACAGAGTATTAGACAAGTGTTTTTCCTATTAGTTCTCTTGCTACATATTAATATCAGCGGCATTTAAGGGTTTGTGCAGACTAATCAAACACAGTGAGCCAAGCATGGAGCCCGGTCATCAGCTCGACTCCAACAATATAAACTCTAGCCACCTCAGTGCACTGGGCCAGGGTAATCTACTACTGTAGGCACTGTCACGGGGGACATAATGGTTTTTTCTCTCCAGGGCAAAATAAAGGGGGAAACTGAGCTATTAGTTACCACTGTGCCTTTGTACCTATGGCTGTTGTGTGGCAGTGAGCGACGGCCAACACACCAGGAAAACCATTTGTTTTTTTTCATGGACACGGTGCACATACACATACAACATGAAAACACTACAGACAGAATCACAGACTGTACATAAGACATGTAGCCACCATGTTGCTCAATCTTTAAGAATTTTCTGGAAGCTGTGCTGTTGTAGGACCAACCCCTGTGTAAACAGAAATCTACTTTTCACTTAATTTATAATGACAATAAATATTTCCAGAAGAGTTTGTGGCCTCAGTCTCTCGTTTAATGTCTTCTCCAATACAACATGATGTCATTCATTCATTTTAGTGTCGCGGGGGGACCTGGAGCCGGTCCAAGCTGACATCAGGCCAAAGTCGCTATTCACCCTGGACAGATTACCAGTCAACGGGGGAATCAACAAACAGAATGAGACAAACAACCACTTCCCCTCACACCTTTAGTCCTTTTCTAATCTCCATTTAAACCTTAATCTTCACATTTGGAAATTGATATTTCGTGATGAAGGGAAACCCATACACACACACACTAGTTATGGGAGTGACTGCTGTGTCAGTGACCGACTTCAAATTCAAACGTGCTAATTTTAATTCTACCTACACCTGTTTTTATTGGTGACTAATCCTAATGAAGGAAATATAAAATAAAAAAAAATCAAAAGAAATATATATTTAATATTATAAATTTGCTTTTTAGAGTTTGTCCATTTAAGTAAATACTTTCCTGCCCCATCCTGACCGTGGTGTTGACGCTGTTAGCAGCTGAAGACCACCTTAGTGCCCAGCACTCAGTGAGGCTGGTCTGACACAAGCCAGGCCTCTGAGCTGAAGCCTCTACAAACACATACTGTGTGTTGAGGGAGGTTTGAAGCTGCAGGTGTGTTGTTTGCAGTGTGCAAATAACAACATGTGTATTGACTGTGTATTAGAGCAGAAAGTATGAGTGGGTGGACAGTGGGATTATGGGATATGCAGTGTCTATCAATCTGCCCTTGGGTTAAAGTTTTTAATCTGCTTCATCTTCAAGAATTAATTAGCAGCCTTAACGTGCTAATTGTGACAGCCCTGGTGAACCAAGAGTAAACACTCCATATTGACTCCCTCATCTATCTATTTATCAAAGACACCAATGTCATGTGACTTCATATAACGATCCGACTGTCAGTTGTGCTTTTGGCATTACACTGTATTAAAGAAGACTTAAAACAAGTGACTGTAAATAGAACAGGGAAGTATCAACATATAAATGGTGCTTCATTTCCCAGTGTAACTTCCATTCATGTGAAGTTGCTTCTAAAAACCAGCAGAACATGTAAAATCTTCTTCTTCAACTTTCAGCTGGATAGTTATTAGAGTCATTTCCTGTACACAGAGTACTTCCTGTTTACCTTGTCATATCAGAAAGTACACTCAGGGAAATAAAAGCTGGGGGGGGGGGGGAATGCAACCCGGATTGAATACCAGTTTTAACTCTGAACTAAA